TATAATAAAAAAAAAAAATGGGGGGGGGGGGGGGGGGATAGGGAATAGTGGATTTGGAATGAAAATAAGGTGTGTTGAGAGAGTGAGGAGGGGCACAAGCAATGTGGAATAACACTGGTGAAACTTGTTTTTCCTATTTTTATTAAAGAATTTGTTTTTCTTATTTTAAAAAATTAATGTCCTAGAGAATAAGTTTTTCAAAAATTTTAATCAACCGAACATGAAAATATTAAAAAAAAGAATAGAAAATATTTTCCGTTAAACGGTACACACCCTGGATCAATGAAACACCTAAAAAGTAAAAATTATTTCTAGAGAAAACAATTCAAAATTCACAAGATTAGGGCCTAATTATGTGCCTTTTTTAGTTTTCAAAATTACCTTCTGCATCATATTTATTTTGTCAGATACATATAAATGGTCAACTCAGATACATGTATTTCAGATACATGCAGATCAAATTAAGTGTAATTTGTTCTAGATATACCATATCTAATCGTGATTCACATGTATCTAGGATAAACACTTACTCTCTCGCTCACCTTTATCCCTATATATTTGTATTTCGGAATGTATCTAGTATCAAAAGATATATGTTGATTCTCTCGCTCAGCTCTTAGTATTTCAAAATACATCTAGTGTCTTTGATACATGTATTTGACTTAAAATATGAAAGAATGGTGTATCAATCTAGTACCAAATTATAAAATTAGTGAGTGAGAGACAATATGTAATTTTTTCAAATTATACAGTGGATTCATACTTATGCATGGTTACAATATTTGTGTAATTAGGTAGTTTTTCCTTATTTCTAATGTCATTTTCGAATTGAAAAATAAAGTTTAAACATCGTGTTTTGGATAGATTTTAGAATAATAGTGTATAGACAAGAACCGATTCAAAATGTGGTGCAATGGATAGGGCTGCTCCTCCCTTAATCAAAGATCTCGAGTTCAAGTTTTGGACACATATCGAACATCGGACAGAAAAAAACAAATTCAAGATGGCATACACTAAATAAAATAAAAATAGCAACGAGTTAGTTGCAATCATTTGTTTGGTTGGTTTCCTCTACTTTTTCTCTTGACGAAAAAATTCTCATGTATGACGAAGAAATCCAATTTACAAATGATAACCTAAAGTCAAAAGATTTTCAAGAATTTGGAGGTATAACTTATATTTTGAAAAAAACAAATTCATATGTAAAATGCAAATACATATGTAAAATGCAAATACAAAACAATGATACATGATCTTGACTAATTCATGGTCTACCATGAACTAAACCCATAGTTTAGTAGGAATCTATTTCATAATAATTAAGATGAGATTCTATATGCTTAGTTTGTTTTTTTCAAAGATCATTTGGCCAGTTTGTACTTGTTTTTCTAAATGTTTTGAGCCAGTTTTGTTTTTTCTTTACAAAAAAAATAAACTTGTCTTTATCAATTGTTTGGGTCTCTTGCTATATAAAGAGCTAATTATTCCACCAATGTTGCAAGAACAACAAACTAATTTAGTTCCAATATGGGAACACCATCAAAGTTGAGGCAATGGCCCCTTCTTGTTTATGCTTTTGCCTTTTGCTTGATAGTCATTAGTGTAGCAGCTGATTATAAGCCTCACATTGATGATTCATCATCTTTGTCATACCGTTATAGGCCACGATCGCCTCCACCACCTCCTCCACGACGTCGTTACTATTATAAATCGCCCCCGCCTCCTCCTCCACGACGTCGTTACTACTATAAATCGCCTCCACCGTCTCCTCCACGACGTCGTTACAATTATAAATCACCTCCTCCACGACGTCATCACCATTATAAATCACCTCCACCACCGCCTCCGCGACGTCATCACTATTATAAATCACCTCCACCTCCATCACCACCTCCTCCACATTATTACAAATCTCCACCTCCCCCGCCAAATTATTACCATCATCCACCACCACCACCAATCCTTTCTCCTCCTCCAACATATCATTACGAATCTCCACCACCGCCTTCTCCATCTCCACCGCCACCTTATTACCATAATCCTCCACCACCACCTTATTACCATAATCCTCCACCACTACCTTCACCATCTCCACCGCCACCTTATTACCATAATCCACCACCCACACCAATCCATTCTCCTCCTCCTCCTCCACCACCACTTCCATCCCCATCTCCATCTCCATCTCCATTGCCAACACCCCCATTGACTACACTTGTCGATGAACCATCTCCATCTCCATCTCTGTTGCCATCACCACCATTGATTGCACCTACCGATGGACCATCTCCATCTCCATCTCTGTTTCCATCACCACCATTGATTGAACCTATCGATGGACCATCTCCATCTCCATCTCTGTTCCCATCACCACCATTGATTGCACCTACCGATGGACCATCTCCATCTCCGTTGCCATCACCACCATTGATTGCACCTACCGATGGACCATCTCCATCTCTATCTCCGTTGCCATCACCACCATTGATTGCACCTACCGATGGACCATCACCATCTCCATCTCCGTTGCCATCACCACCATTGATTTCACCTACCGATGGACCATCTCCATCTCCATTGCCATCACCACCATTGATTGAACCTACTGATGGACCATCTTTATCTCCTTTGCCATCCCCACCATTGATTGCACCTACCGGTGGACCATCTCCATCCCCATTGCCATCCCCACCATTGATTGAACCTACTGATGGACCATCTTTATCTCCTTTGCCATCCCCACCATTGATTTCACCTACCAAAGGACCATCTCCATCTCCATCTCTGTTCCCATCACCACCATTGATTGAACCTACTGATGGACCATCTTTATCTCCTTTGCCATCCCCACCATTGATTGCACCTACCGGTGGACCATCTCCATCCCCATTGCCATCCCCACCATTGATTGCACCTACCGATGGACCATCTCCATCTCTATCTCCGTTGCCATCACCACCATTGATTGCACCTACCACAGGACCATCTCCATCTCCACCACCTCCAGTTAATTGCCCACTTCCCCCATCGCCATCTCCACCTCCACCACCTTCTCCATCTCCACCATCTCCAGTTAATTGCCCACCTCCCCCATCGCCATCTCCACCTCCACCACCTCCTTCATCACCATCTCCTCCACCACCACCTCTAGTTAAGTCTCCACCTCCACTACTTTCTCCATCCCCTCCACCTCTTCCATCACCATCCCCACCTCCACCACTGCCTTGCAATAATAAACATCCTCTCCCACCATCTTTATTCCCTTTTCCAATACCATTTCCCTGGATTCGAACTCCACCTCCACCACCTAATTGTACTCCTCCACCACCTCTAATAAACTCCCCACCTCCTTCATCACCATCTCCACCTCCACCACCTTCTCCATCTCCACCACCTCCAGTTAGGTCCCCACCTCCTCCATCGCCTTCTCCACCACTTCCAGTTAGGTCCCGGCCTCCTCCATCGCCATCTCCACCTCCACCACCTTATCCATCTCCACTACT